CAGTATTTTTTAATTAAAGTATGTACATTTTTTAAAGACATAATGCTATTGTACACTTAACAGACTACAGTCTAGTGTAGACATAACTTTTATACGCACTGAGAAACAATGACAACAAAAACAGCGTGGCTCGCTTTACTATGGTGGTCTGGAACCAAACCTGCACAAGCTTTTAACCAAGTTTTCAACTCTGGGAAAACTTGTAGCCTCATTTTTTGGGAGACTTAAGCAACTTTCAAACTTTATCCATTTAGAAAGTCTTTGCAACAACTTTCCAAAGGCATAATCTTACCTACTCTAAGATTAGAATACAGAGGGGCCTTTGTCTTGTGATCTGTGTGTGGTCACTGGTATACAGACGAAGTCCCCAGTGCAGTATACCAGATTTGCAAAATGCACAGCAACTTCTTTCTAGGCTCTAAAAGCTTGAGGAGGAACAATTCTGTTTAAACAGAGTCACTTCTCACTCAAACCTAGTTCACCTGCTTACCTCCCATGATGTATTGGCAAGTGTTTGCGGTGGATCCCATGACTTCCTTCCACAAAAGCGTTGGGAGGCTTATGGTACACTGAGGCCAAAGAACCAATGTGGCAGATGAGCTCATCCAGCAGAGTTGGCTCAATAAGATCTGTCTCCTCAGAGATCAGTGGCTTCTCAGACAAGACTACTTCTTTGGCTGTGACAGGGTCGGTTGAGAGGAGGCGCCAATAAATATAGCCCCGGTCTCGAAGGTCAGGATTATCAGAATCCTAATGAAAAGGCAAAGGCAAGAAGTTTTAAATGTAACTTTTCTACATATAGAAACCCAAACTGCTGGATTTATTATCCAGGCAATGCTGTAGTGATTTATCAGAGTTGGCTTTCAAGATATTTAGACTCAATATATTGTTAATACAGTCATAATTCTGTAATCTCTAATGTTTCAAAGAATTTAAATATAAATTGAGATGAGTTAGTTCTAAGACTCAAATTCAAAAGGAAGTTGGGAAAAGGAAAATGAAGTTTAACCCAGTAAAAATTAACTGCTTGAGATGGCCTTGGGACACAAAAATAATGTTTTTAACTGCTGCAAATATTAGCAGGATTATTCATGAAACACATCTTACATATATTTCACCCATACCTTCTTTCTTCATTCAAATATTTATTAAGTATCTCCTATGGAGACACCTGCTAGGCCCTGGAAATAAAGAGATAACACACAGTGCCTGATTTTAATGACCTCAAAGAGTATTAATTATTATAATATAGTACGAGACTTACTAGTATCTAAGTAGTAAAAAAAACTGTTCAAGAGAGCACATAACTAAGTGCTTCCAAAAGGGGTGACACTTGAATGTAGTGTCCTTTTTTGTGTGTGCGGCAGTAAAAATAATTTTATACATGACCACAGCTAAATTTATCACCAACACATCACAGTTTAGAAATGTGTAATATAAAAAATATGTCCCTCTAGTCATCCAACCCTTCCCCACCTTAGCTCCCCAGCCCCAAAACAGCACGGTATATACCTTACCAGGGCACTCCTATACATACATATATTTATATTTTATACAAAGCCAGCTTCATATTATATATACTGCTCTGCAAGTTGCTTTCCCTATCAGCACATACAGCTGCCATTTCCAGTTTACATGCAGCACTGTATCATTATTACTAGTGTCCTACTAATGGACAATAGATTGTTACCTCTTTCTCCCTCCTCCTTTCTATTTATTTTTGTGATCATTACAAAATAGCAATAAATATGCCGGTATCTACCTCTCAGAGTTTGTCTATACGGTGGCATTTATGCATGAATTGTTCCAGAGGTATAATGTTATTAAAGGCAACAATCAGTCCCATTTCAATTTCTGTATTTGAAACACACAAAAATATTTTCTTTAAACTAGGCCAATTTGAGGGTTTCTGAATGAGTTTTTAAGGTAAGCAGATGAACTGGTTCATGATTTAGCCATTTAAGGAACTTACCATTCAGCTCAATACCAGCAGTGATCCTAATGGTTTTAAATAGTTTTTCTTAATCATATATTGTTTAATTTGCAGTCAAAATGGATTGTGGTTAAAGACAGAAAAGCATAAAGAACACTGAGAAACAGCAAGTTAATACAGTATCAAAATGGTAAATTTTACCTCAAGATAATCCTTATCACACCCATATATTGCATTATTCTAATAAAAATGCACATATATATGCATTATTTACATCGAAATGTCTGTAGTATTTGAAATGCTAGGTTAAAAAAAGGAAAGTGATAATATCCAATTGAGTTTGTTTTGTTTTGTTGCATGTTGGGGGGGAATTTGCTCTTGAGGAAGTGTTTATAAATAGCAGCTTGAAACCTCCTCACACAGATTTTCATCTGGAAACAAAGCTTGAACATTACAAAACATAAACAAGTTGATTTTTTTAAAAAGAGCAGAATATAAGTTTCTCCAAGTATCACACCAGGAAAGCAATCCTTACCCTAGCTTTTACTGATATTTAAATTAAAAGTGATGGGGAGGGTATAGCTCAAGTGGTAGAGTGCATACTTAGCATGCACGAGGTCCTGGGTTCAATCCCCAGTATCTCCCCTAAAAATAAACCTAATTACCTGCCCCCCAAAGAAAAAAAATTTTAAAAAAAGTTAATTTTAATCTGCATATTCAGTCCTCAAAGCACGTCATTTAAAATTTGTAGGTTATTTATGCTTTTTATTGCAGTGAAAATGAACACTACGTATCACTTAACTGAGAAAATCTGGTTTGTCTTTATAGATTAATAAAGTTGTTAAACATATTAAAATAAACTATATAACACAGCTTAACAAAATGCTGATCCAAATAAATTTTTTTAACTTCAAATTATTTCTCTCATATATCAGGTACATATTTAACCAAATGGCAAAAAACAAACAAACAAACAAACAAAACACAACAAAACCTGTGGGCTATTCACGAAATTACATACGTCTATGAAAAAAGCTGAGTCCCCCCTAACAAATTCAAAACACTGATAAAAGACAAACTGCTAGAGACAGAATCACTGGATCAAAGAGTATACACACTGTAAATTTTAAGTCACTGACTGAAAAATTTAATCCTACGAGAAATGAGTGCAAATTTTCCAGAACCGAAAGTCAAGAGTGGGCAAGGTTCTCCACTGTCCAAACTCGGTTATCCTCAAGGCTGGTTCTTTAGACCTACTTATCAGCTGCTTTCACTGCCTCACCATCCACATGGAGGACACAATAAATCAGGCCCAGTCAAGGCTTATGACAAGAAAATGGAACCTTTCTGTGACCTTAAAGTGCCATTACGTGTTTGGTGACTCAGAAAAAAATTTCGTTTTGGATCTACTGTACTGCTACTCCCACAGGCCTTTGTGAGGCACTCAAGAAAATAGTACATTTCTAAAATTTTGAGAGCTTCCAAAGCAATTCTCACCAGGCAAGGTCTAAAACAATAATTCTTAAACTATAATGTGTATCAACGTTTTAACACACCAGGAAAACAACTCAAAGTGCAGATTCCAGGAGCAAATCAGTTTTTGATTCATTATGTCAAATGGGGGCCCAGGAATTTTTATTTTTAACAAGCAGCACAGGTGATTTTGACGATGGTGGCCTCTAGTTCACAGATAGAAAAACTAAAATGAAGACTTCTTTTTCATGTACTAAACTGAGTTTGAACTCTTAAAGAAACCTAAAATACAGCTCTCCCACACCGCTTGTTAAATACAGATATATAGGCCTTAAAAGACAAGGGAGATGTAGATAGGGTTGAGAACTTGCAAATACAATGGAGTCAATCAAGGACACCTGCTTGTTTATAAGACCAGCCCTATCTACTTAGAGGTGAGCAGAGAGAGGAGCAAGGCCAAAATTGTTTTTAGAAAATTGTTTTGACTCCATCTTGAGACACACACAAGTGGATGATCAAGGGTCCAGACCAGGAAACCTACGATGTTCAATACAGATAATATTAAATAGCTACTGCTTTGATGTTATGGAAATTGCTTTGCTTCAAGCAAAGGAAGATGCTTAAAAGGGAAGTTTTTAAAAACACTTCAAAGAGCTCTTACAAATAAATTTTAAAAGATGTAAAATTAACAACAGGAAAGATGTATCTATTTTCCAACACAGCTGAATGTCAAGTAAGAGTCTCAGCAGTTAAGATGCTTTTGACTATTTCACACATACCTAAATACGGTCAGCTTTAATTTGGCCAAGGCATGACTATGAGCACACAATGTGAGCTGAGACAGACCATTTCCTGCTGTGATTCTAGGGCACCACCCAGCACTCCAATCTTTACCTTTTCCTTTCTTATTTTCTACTTGTAGCAGCAACTTTCATGGAGGGCCAAATATTGCTGATGTTTTGAAACATGGCCCTCAAGGGAGAGTCAAAACTTGAATACAAAGTAGATAATGCAATAATCATAAATGCCATGATTCTTGAGGAAAATTCTTAGCTTGAGAGAAAGCTAAGAAACTATATAAATATGTATTTATCTCTGTCTGGGGGATGTTCTGAAGTGTTGGTACATAGGCCTCATTAAAGTCAAGTTTACTATATTAGCATCTAGAATATACACAAGACTTCTTTGAAGTTGGTTAATTTATATAAAGCTCTTTCTTTCATACAAGGTACAGAAGCTCCAGGACCTACAGCAAAAGACAGAAGTGCCCTTCAGGGCCCTATGATAAAGGCAAACACATCGCTAATTTAAAGGCAAGCAGTCTGCAGAGTCTGTAATAAGCACTATGTGATCAAGAAGTGGCAAATTCTATTCAAAATGGTCCTGTCGATGACCTATTTCACATTAATGTGAAAATGACTTCCTGCATCCAACCTAAACTGCTCTGATTCAGAAGATGATTAAGTTTTGCTCTTAGTACCAAGACACGTCTGATCAGTGAAGGACAACTAACTGCCCAGTTCATTTCTCATGGACAGATGGTGGCCCATGGTCTGTCCTTGGCTTCAGTCGTATGGATGTTTCTTCACACCAACTGTAATGGGGTCAAGTGAAGGCTTAGAGACTTGGGAAAAGAGCAGGTTAAAAGTTTATTTATAATTTGTTGATAGGTCTCAATGGAAAAAATTGAGGTACAAGGGGAGAATACCTGTTTTCTGTGAAATTAATTTTCTGATATCCTTTAACTCAACTCCTGTTAGTCAACTGCTCCCTTAAAGGATGATCAAGCAGATAATTCCCAGTATTTTTTATGTGAATCAATACAATCAGACAAGACAATTATCTTAGTTTTTAGCTTCAGGCCTTCCTCACATTTGAGTTCACTGATTGTAAAATATCTGTGTTTGAATCAAGTGTCAGTGAAGTAGCCTCTGACTCTAGCCATTCTCTTGGCTGTATTTTTCCAGGGTTGTACAGCATATTCTAAAAACAATTTATTTAATAATGTTGTCTACTTTACAGTATTCTATTAAATACTCAAAAAATACCTTAGCTGCCCGCTGAACTTCTTTTCCTTAAAATGGATTCCTGGCATTTCTAAAATTAAATACTGCCAGGGGAAAAATAGAACTTTGCATTATCATGTAGCAAATAACATGCCTTGACCACTAACAGAGGATGTACTGGCAACTACTCAAGGTTCACATTTGTGGTCTCAGTTTGGAACTGGGATTTAAGAAGATTTCAGTGTACAGTGATCTGCCTCCAAGTGTCTTCCCCAATTCTGCTTGTTGGAATCAATGTAACACCTCAACTGTACTAGTTACAGTATTTACCAAATATAGTTCTCCAGTTGCGTTCATTTTTCCGTATGAAATAAAGTTCAGAACTAGGCAAAGTATTACGAAAGAGCTTCAGATTTTGATAAAACCGTAAAGAGATGAAAAAGAAAAATGGTCAACTGAGTATCTGTCAGATTCCATGTGTCGACACAAACCGTAACTCTGGACAGCCAGCTAAAGCCAGTCTGTTCTCAAATTCCGTTAAGAACATTACTGGATCATGATGGACTGATGATCACTACATCAGTTACAGTAGAAGAATTACTTTGATTTTTGTGTATCTGGCTGGTTGCCGCATTCCTGAAATCAGAACCCTTCCTATGTAGACCAAAAATATCAAATTATTAAGAAAACAGCATTTGTACTTCAAAGTTATTTAAAGAGAAAGGCAACCACTCTAGAAGGTAGAACAGCACATGAGCTCTTTGTCGACGCACTGAACGTCTCTCTATATGGTACTTCCATTTGAAAGCTAGTATTAAGTTTCCCAGAAGGAGGTACTGTGAGACTCAGTGTCATTTTCACAAGGGCATGTCCTCCCTTAACACTGAAGAGTCTAATCAAGTTTAATTTTCATGAATAGTCATTAAAAACTGGAGTCAGTCAATTCATTTAAAAGTGATATAACCAGTTCCAATTCAGCAGAATATGTAAAAGAAGCATTGTTTGTATTTTTTAACAGAATCTAAAAACTGCACTTCTTCTGTTTAAAATTTCCCCAGATGAACCTTCTTGGGAGAAGTTTTGCAATTTCCTGGAATTTGAAACAAGACAAACAAACCCCATGCTTTTTCCAGATTTCTTACCTGTGTTGCCAAACTCAAGACCTGCTGTACCAGCTCCTGTGTTTCTGACGGTTTCTTGAGAAACAGTTTCACAATGGCAGTAAGCAGAGTGAGCTGCACCTAAGCAAACGTCATTTAATAGATTAAGCGATAGGAATTTGCATTATTCCCCACCATCATTTCCAAAGTGGCATTTTCAACTATAACTTACAATGAGGTCTTCCTGATTTTAACTGAGACAAATGTTAAAACTCAGCCAATATCAACACTAGCAGTCAAAGATTTTCATCAACTAAAAATTCACTAGCTTCTATCTCCAACATGCATTTCGGGCATCAAAAATTGCTTATTTGTTTCTGGCCCAGATAATCACCTGTATTTCTTAAAGTACATGCTAACATACTGACAGCAAGAAAACTGGTTCCTGATCAAATTCTTTATTATTTACTTCTACCAAAGCTACAACTTCCAGGGAATTAGGGAATCATCTGGCAAAAGCAAGAACAGCAGAATTTTGCCAGACCACAGCCAATTAAGAGTGGCCTGCTGAACCATGAAGCTAACTTGCTTGTATGTGTTCCCTGTAAGGATCTATTAAAATTACTGATGGATTACATACATGAACATCAATTTGCAGTGAGTACAAGTGCCAGGGGATAAAGATTTAATAATTTATCTGCTTCTGAGGATGCATGACTTGAAGGTTAGGGTCTCTCAATTTTCGTAGAGGACAGATAGGAGATGAGGAGTCTAACCATCCATAGAGAATTTTTTCAAATTGCACATGCCAGCCTTTCACCCCAGCCAAAAACGCCAGTTGTAACTGAGCCACAACCATTACTAACAGTGATGGGTAATCTCTGTCAGGTGACAGAAAATGACAAAGCAGTAACTGCTGCACTAAAGCAGTAACTGCTGCACTAAGCCAGCAGCTGTCAAAGTGTGCTTCTGGAGCAGAAGCAGCATTGCCACCCCAAACCTTATAAGAAATGAACACGCTCAGGCCCATCTCAGACCTACTGAGTCAGAAACTCCAGGGGTGGGGCCCAGCAACCTGTGCTTAACACAGGTTAAATACCAGTGCTTAGCTGCTTCTAAGGCTCATTAAAGTTTGAGAACCGCTGGTCTAAGTTAGGAAGGCTTGTTCCACCAGAAGTTAGCACAACTGAAAAAGATCATCCCTTTTGGGAGGAAAATGAACATACTATATATAAATAAATTCACACACATGAATTGCCTGATCTTTATCTTTCCTGAAATCTTCCCCAAAAGATCTATTACATAAAATATAGATGAGAACTTACCTGGGTGCTTTCATCATGAAAACCTTCCAGGAAGCTCTCTAGTAACTCATCTGCATTGTCAATTCTTTCAGCATATTCTCCCACAATCCAAATCATAGCTGCACGAGCATCTGGCTCATCCAGTGAGTCTAAGTTCTCACACAGAGTGGCAATGATACTTTCATATCTGATATAACAAAACAGACTGTGGTTACTGAGGGCAAACCTGAGAACTTTATTTAACAATGAAGGCTAAAAGCAAGACCACAAAGTACCCTACCCAAACCAACAACTACAAAGGCTTTTAGTCAACGGAATAGACAGGTCTTAAACCAGAAGATAATGTCTTAAATTTTCCTTCAATTATGTTTTAATAACTAGACCTTAAACTTTTATAAAAGCTTATCATGTATTCTTTTCACAAGGAAAAACTCACCTGTGGTGTAAGGTAATACCACTACTTCATATTTCTAACAGTCTTTCTTATAACTAGATCAAAATTTTTCTTGGTATGTCATTTTGCCTTCATGGTAGAAGAACAGAAATTCCACTTTACTTTTAGGAAAAAGGAGTTAAGACGACAGCATCCAGACCAGAAACGGTAATTTTGTCTCTTAATCCATCTTCTCTGCTTCCTATAGAAATCTTTACAACCTTTCCTCCCAAGGCACCCACACCAATGACTTGTTTCTCCAAAGAAACAAGCAATTCGAATATTATTTTTAAGCTCTCTCATTTTTTTACCATATTGAATCCATTTCCCTGGCTAATGTAGTTTTAAACATCAGAATGAAACCATAAAATAAATGAGATATGGACAACTGAAAAATAGATTTAATTGTTGGCCCTACTTTCACTGATTAAACCAGCTTCTTAATAGCTCTTTCTTAAAATTTGACTGTCATAATCCCTTATTAATACAAACCAGAAACTGATGCATTTCTTTTTTTAAAAATTTTTTAATATATTTTTATTTATTTATTTTCATTGGTGGGGGGAAGTAGTTAGGTTTGCTTATTTATTTTTAGAGGAGGTACTGGGGATTGAACCTAGGACCTTTTGTATGCTAAGCTTGTGCTCTACCATTTGAGCTATTCCCTCCTCCCTGACACATTTCTTGATCAATCATATTAAGACATACATCTCCACATTTAATTAAAAAGTTCAGAAACCCAATCCACCTCTTTTTTGGGAGAGTGGTAAAAATATATGATCCTTTTCCCAAAAATATCATTTCTAAATTAAAAATACATGGTATATATAATGCTATAACACTTAATAAATCACTACCTTGCTAAAATATTTCTTCTAATTTTGAGTGTGCCACTAAGCTAACTTAATGCAAGTCACTTCATTTAACACTATCTTTAAGGACTAATCAGAAGCTTCAGCACAGTGTATCTCTATGATCATAAGGCAAATGAGACTTAGGATGCTTATAAGACCTGCTCTTATTTCATTCTTTCAGATTCCTTAATTGCTTGCCTTCAAAAGCAAATCTGACAAAGCATTTGTTTCATAAACTAAGAGGCCTCAATGTGACAATTTTTTGTGGAGTGAAAATGTAGCTTTCACATGTTAATGGAAGCAGCTATACTTCAGAAAAGATCTGACACTCTGATAGTTTATTGTTACATGCTCTATGATTTTCTACAAGTACTAGGTAATATATAAAGCGAACAGTGAAGCTGTCACCTTCCTAGTTTTTACAACAGGGTGGCCAAACACTTAATCATTCAAACTGAGACATTTCTGAGACTGAAAAGGGGCACAACTATTAATTATGCCTAGTGACAGGCATAAACTAGATTATTCCCAGATAGCCTCAAATATATGGGTATCCTATTTAACAGTAACTTCACCACCAAAGAATCTAGTTAACTTTAATATATGCCAATAGACAATGCATATTCAGATAGAGCTTCAATTCTTCTAAAAGTGAAAAAGCAGGGTGAAAAAAATGAGGTTTTAATCCCTGTGCTAACCACCTGCATGTTTCTGATTTTTAATACAGTATTCAATTACGGTTACACTACAAGGAATAATTCTTACCTAGTCAATCTCAAAATGCCTTACTCAGTCATTTCCTATATGATCTGAGGAAGAGGGGAAGTGTATTTGTACATACTTGTTGGGGTACTTGCGGAAGATGTCCCTGATGACAACAATCGCCTCTTGGACCACATAATTTACTTTGGTCTGGATGAGATCAAGCAATGTGCTTACACAGCGCTCTGCAGATTGCTGCAAAGAGGAACATAATGAGAAGTCAGATGATCTAACAACACAAACTCAACATAAAAAAATTTTTTTGGAAATATACAGGTGCATCAACTAAGGCAGACTAAAAGATGAGGCACTTAATTTGACCAACCTATACTGGAGGCTGGGTTATCTGATGGAGATACACAGAAATTCTAGATATACCCCAAACTTTACTCATTACAAAAGAGTCAGTGTAAGTGAAAAAAATCATCTTGGATAGCCAGGATGACAGAAATGAGAAAAGGCATAAGTCAACATAGGAGGAAAGAATAAGAATGAAAGAACAAGTTAAGGAAGGAGGTCTTTATCTGGAATTCATGAATGAGTACAGACAGCAGAAGGTATCTTTAAATCTCTTGAAATGAAGCTGCTATATTTCGTATATGCACACGATTTCCAAGGAGAAGATCCACAGTTTGCATTATATTTTTAAAGTTAACTGTGACTCAAAAAACTTGAAGGAAAATTTGCCATCTTTTGGGCTATATAACTGAAAGTCTATGGCCTTAGATAAACTGCAATTTTCCACATCCTATGGTTCATCTATAAAATAGAATTTACCCTTTTAGTCTTTAATCAATGAAGGTAACATGGAAGAATACAAATGACAAAACTGATGTATTGAAACTGTAAGTTATAGTTTTTAAAAGAAAAAGGGTTCTAGAAGAAAGATCATAAAAATCGAGGACTGATTTATCACATATTACAATGCACTATGATGGGTCACTCTACTATATGCCTCCTGATAAGATGCCATAGAAGTACACAGCATCACCTGTGATGTGTTCTTGCCAAAAACGCTAAACGTGAGTATTACCAAGCCTCTGAATTTAATTTCTAAAGAGGATGAAAGAATGAGATAAACAACATCACTAAAATACAAGCAGCCAAATCTTGACTCTGGGAAATTCTACAAGCCCAACCATCTAGTCACTTCAATAAATGGCACCCAAGTAAGTAAGTAAAGACTTAAAAGACATATTAACCAAATGCAATGTGTAACTCTTGTTTAGATTTTGATTCGAACAAGGCAACTGTAAAAAGACAGTTAGACACAGGGAAGACTGAACATGGACTGGTATTCAACGAGGTAAGAATTAGTTAGCTGCTGCATATGGTAATGATATCATGACTTTTTTAAAGAGGACCTTATCTAATAGATATCCAATTGGACTACTTTAGTAAGATCATATCTGGGATTTGCACTACAAGAAACAGTTGCTCATCCCCTTGAAGAGGGAGGGAGAGGGAGAAGATTAAACGACAACAGCAATGTGTTGATATGTGTTCAAGATGGAAGATGGGTACACAAGAGCTCATTAATCAATTTTACTTTAGTGTATGCCTAAAATTTCTGTAATAAAATCTTTTAAATCTAATAATTTAAACCATTCCAAGCAATGTAATGAAAACAAAATAGCATCTTGAGGTTACTTATATGAGGTCATGAGGTCATACATATATATGATTGTTATCTTTTATGCAGTTTTGCCATTTTTGAATTCTATTATATTCATTTTCAACTAGTAATTCCTGTGCTATTACTGCAACAGCAAAACAGCTGGGAAATTTCAATATAAGTTAAGATAAATTATAAAGCATGTAGGATACAGGCTACTGCAAGGGGTAAATTATAAAATTAGATAATACAAATAAAGTGCTTAGCATAGGGCTTGATAAAAAGCTAGTATTTAGTGAGCCCATAGTTTCTTATAAAGACAAACAAAAGGCCATTTCCCATGAAGCATCAACAATTGAAAACATTTAAGTCTAGGACAGTAATTTTTAACCAAATTGTCATCTCACCCATGTTGCTTTTGATTACATTTTGAAAATTACCATTAAACACCCAATCACTGTACATACAAAGTAAGTCCAGAAACAGAGAGAGGAATACAGACATATAAAATCCAGTATACAATAAAGGCAGTATTTTGTAACAGTAAGGAAAGGGTGAACTGTCCTGGTGTTTGATCCCTACACTCTTATCTTTAACCAAAATGATATTCAATTATTATAATTATTGATTAAAAGCATCTTTAAATGTTTAAAAAAAAAAAAAGGACCACTGCCATTAAAGTAGAAAATAAAGGTGAATTTTATATAACTTTGAGGTGAAGCACAATTTTCTAGGTGTGCCAGTAAAGACACCATTGAGAGAAAACTGACAGGACTCCCTACGAAAAGAAATGCAAACTTCTATACATCAAGAAGTCAGATAAAATCAAACAGAAAAAAAAAAAACTGGGAAAATAACTGTTAATGAAATGAAGGGTTAATACCTTTAATTATAAAGGACTTGAAAAAAATTAATACGGAAAAGATAACCCACTGAAAAAAGATGCACAGGACACGGAAAACCACATCCAAATGCCTAAAAAGCATAATGAAAAAAATGTTTCTCTTTATTGGAGATCAAATATTTGGCTACAAGGATCCCCCTTACATTGTTATTTGGGAAAAGAGCAGAAACAACTTTAAGGTCCATACAGGAAGGGAAAGGCTAAATAATTATGAAGCAATTACATATTATGTCTATAAACCACTAAAAATGAGGCAAAATATCAATAACATTGAAAAATACCCATGTACAATAAGCGACAAAAGCAGACTACATAAGTAAATAGCACAGGGCTTGATAAAAAGCTAAAAACACATAAGTAAATAGCATTCATAGGATGATCTCATTTTTGTAAAAAACACACTTGTTTATGGAGGACTATATAAACAAAGATTTAAAATCATGTCCACATCAACTCTGGGAGGGGAGAGCAGGCTGTGAAGCAGAGTGTTTTACTTTTACTTAATTTGTCTCACTTTATGATTTTATGTAGTAAATATATTCGGCTTTTTGTTTGTTCTTGCCCTTGTCCCAAGAATGGGTTAGTTAAAAACACAATCATCGCCTTTCCTGCACCAACAACTGTGTTCAGACCAGGCAACTCTTTCCAACTGGTAACTTTCATGATTGAAACAGTTCTAGGAAAAGTTCTCAGGCAAGTCCAGTGAACTTGAGATAAAAGAACACTAGCTAAAAAGCAGAATTGTTGAATGCTGATCTCAAGCTTCCAGAGGAAGTTCATTCCTCACACACACTCATACTCCCACCAGGGCACCGTGAGTCAAAGGAAGAAGTGAGAGCCACCAGAAGTACAACTCTTTCAGAAGATGATGGATAACTTTCCCATTAGTCACAATACACGGTACTAACAGAATCTAGGAATCTAGATACTTTGAGAACAGTTTCTAATAACTCCAGGGATAGAAAATCTCTCTTAACTTTGGAATGAGACTCTTTAGAGAGCACTGTCAGAAAGGTTTCAATAAGACAATGACATTTTGGCTGTGAAAAATCAATATATCCTTGAAAACTGTCTACATTAATACTGTAAGTAGGTGGGCTATTCCTCAGTGAGAAAAGAAAAAGAAAAAAGGTAAGTACATGAAGTGTGGTGGTAAAAGAAGACACAGCATATCAAGATCCAATAAACACTTTCTCATCTCTCAAATGGATCAACAGAAATATATTAAATATCTGAAGCAACTGAGCTGGTAGAACCAAGAGTAGAAACCAGGATAAATAGACTTCTTGTTGTAACAACTAGTTTACTAAATGATTTATCAGTGGCAACCACATGAAGCAGCACTGACGTGAATACAAACAAGGAAGGCCAATTAGGACCTTGGCTTTCAGAGATACTTCCCTGACATAGCATGTTTCCTTCTGTTCCTATGAAGCACTGGTCATACTGTGCAAATTATTTTAGTAACCACCCTGGTGGAATCATACGGTCTAATCTGACTCAAAGCAGAACTGTATATAGTTAAGTAGCAAGAACAAATATGGAGCTCTGATTCACAGTATTATTGTGAACAGAAATCATCATTAATTTCAACAAATTTCTCAGTGAGGAAAAACCAATGGCGGATTGGTGACTAATGAAGCAGGGCAATGTAAGCTGCAGCCCTCAATATCTACTGCAAGGCTGCAACCAAGCTAGAACCAATTTGCCCCCTAAGACCACAGGGCAGATCCCTGCTCTTTAAGAGGACTTTCAAGCAAAGATCAACTCCCTGCCCTAAAGCAGAAACCTGCTAGCTGACAGGCCTGCCTATGTGCACAGAAGTCCTGAAAACGTTTCTGTTTTCTCGTTCTTAAATATAAATGAGCAACAATTTACCGTATGCATGATATACACCTCAAGTAAAATATCATACAGACACGCAACCATCACCATAAAACACTAGATAATTAAATTAAAACTATAGAAACAAAACCAAAAACTATAATTCACATCCCCAGAGATTTAAGAAGCTATTGCAATCACAAAAAAAGAAATGCTATGAAAAGTACCAGTAACAAGAGCAATGAAGGGAGACTGTATGGAAAGATGGCTATGCAGAAGCCAAGAAAGCAACCAGTCAGACTGGAGCAAGGACTGGAGGGACAGAGGACTAGAAGAGAGAAGGGTCTAGAACAAAAGAAAATTTATAAATTTGATATTACGCTTGAAAAACTGGAAGAAGATAGGAGTGCAATGAAGACACACAATGAAGTTTTTTTAAAAGGCCATTATAAACTCAGAAAAAACAAATCTGGATAAGAAAATACAATCATTTATATTGCATAGGCTCTACATTTTTACAGTCATAATATGCACAGTAAGTTTTATAAGCCTCTTACTGACAGAACAAGACATAAAGGCGTATCATCTCAATTTACAAAGGTAAGAACATAAAACTTATGATACAATTATACTGGAGAACAGGAGGATAGAAATAGGAGTGATTCAGTATATGAATGAAGTTTCTTAACTCATAGCAGAAAGTTAACAGACAATGTCCACAATTGGCAAATCAATAAATAATAGCATAAGGATATTAGAGATATGGAAGTAATCAAAGTAAAACTAGAAACGAAGTTTAAAATGATTCCCTCTGGAAAGAGAGGGACCAGGGACAGCTGTTTTCATTAAAAATTCTTCAGTATTAAAGCTATGTGCTTTATTATTTTGATAAACTTTAAAATGTATTTTAAAGAAAGAGGTGAAGGGAGTATGCAGCTCACAAACTTATGGTTACCAGTGGGGAAAGAGGGTGGGGAGGGATAAATTAGGAGTTCAGGGTTTGTAGATACTACTACATATAAAACAAACAGGGTCCTACTGCATAGCACAGGGACCTATATTCAATAACTTGTAATGGCCTATAATGAAAAAGAATATGAAAAGGAATACATGTATATATGAATTACTATGCTCTACACCAGAAATTAACACATTGTAAGTCAACTATACTTAAAAAAAAAAAAAAAGAGAGAATACTTGGAATTCCATTATGTGATCACAACTACCATGGGACACTTGCCTCCACTTTGATGGCACACCGTCCAATGGCCCGCACAGCTTTGCGCACAAAGTCGACATCCACCTCTGTGGCATATTCCTTCAGTTCTGCCAGAACCTGTCAAAAATGCATGAAGTGGACAATCATTAAGGATTCTTCAACAGCAACTTCATGGCTTAGATTTTTCTAAAGGCCAGACCTTAAGATCTAACTCATTAGATCTTAACTTGAATCCACTTTAAGTCTGACCTGAGCAATGTTGGCCTGGGATGCTAAACGAATCATGATGTCCAATTTCTCCAGTTTCACATAGATGGGATCATTGTACTTCACAAAGAAAACTTTGATTTCCTGCTTCAAGATTTCAGGCCTGTGGTACACAGTAACACAAGATAAGGAAGGTGAGGCATATAGTGATATATCCCTCTGAGTCTGTATTAATACCCAACTTGTGCTTCTCCGCAGTCCATCCACACAACCCTACCCCAGGGAAAAAAACTTCCCGTACACCCCACTCCTCCAACCAGATCCATTTGGTTGACTCTTTTTATCTTTTTTAAGGGTCAAGGTATATACTGCCAAGAAGAACCACTGGAAGAAAAACAAATTGCTCTAAACTACGGTCCAAACCATATTACGCAGGCACTAGCTAGCACACTACAAAGAGGTCCTTCAGGAACAAATTAAATTGTAGAGCAACACCGGGCATCCGTTGTAGAACACTCTGAAATCAACTGTTAGCCTCCCGACTTTGGGCAAGCTGCTCTGCACACAGTATTTTTATTTCCATACATTAAACAGAGCTTAACATAACGCCTCTTTAATATTGATGTTACTAAGCTTAATTCAAATTACAAACATGTTAATCATCAGTTCATTTTTTCCCAACCTTTTCTGAACGATTAGATTGATGTTCCTCAGGGCAACGTACTGCACCTCTGGCTCCCCAGACAGCAAAGTGACAAGTGGAGGGGCCAACTTCTTCAGCAGCATATTGTAGTAGTCAGAGTCCTTGGGTAACAACTCTAGAAACTTCATGAGGACTTTTACTGCTGAAAGCACCACTGCTGAGTTGGCATGAGATAGTCGAGGAGTTACCCGCTCACAGATGCTGAGGGAAGAACATGAAAATTAGTATCTTGAATTATAATTTCTTTGCTTAATCCAGTCTATAAGGTAATACTGTCAGAGGTCCCATAGCCCAAGTATCAAGAAATCAGAGAATCAGTTAGAAAAGTCAAAGCTCCATGCGTAGGTAAATTTGGGATCCAACATTGCAGAAGCCTCATTCCCAGCAAACTACAGGCAGAGCAGGGACATCAGAAGACTTCAGGAAACCAGCAATAAGGGATATTCAAACTGGAACGAAACTAGCCAATACCCAAAACACGTGAAGCTCACACCATTTACCTTCCTGTTTTATAGTCCTCTCTGTTTCCCCATATTATGTAAGGGCTCCCTGCCTCTCAGCCCATTTCTCCTCAACCTACAGGAAGTCAAATTAAGCATTCTGAGAGATATTCCGTAGTGAGAGAGATCAACCAACTGTGGCTGAAGTTTCATTGTAAGATTCAAGAGGAGATGGGCTGACAGGGAAAAATACCCAACCTCACGCTTTCAGGATAAGGAAATCTTGCAAAAAGCTTTTGTTTGGTTTTTTTTTTAAACACAGCATCACTGCAATATTCTTCCGACCTCATTTCCTTCTCCTAGCCTCCTCCACCTACACTTAAATGCCTCACAAATCTAGAATATTTAATTATCTGTTGAGAATTCTTTAGAAATTAACCTAATTTTGACAGCTCTTCAGCAACATGAGTAGCTAGCTGACTATATTCAGTTAAGGATATAAGTAAGCTGTGTTTCTGTCTTTTCCTTCTGTATCTACTTGGCTGACTCCCTGACTATCCAGCATTTCTGAGATCTATTCCTTACTTTATTTTTCTTTAGCACTTATCATCAGCTGACATACGGTATGCTGTACTATTTATACATATTATATATGCTTCTGCCCTATTCCTCAAAATTAGTGTTCCATGAGAGCTATGATTTTCATCTGTCCACAGCTGTATCGGCAGTGCCTAGAACAATGCCTGGCCCACAGCATGGGCTCAATAAATACTTGCTGAGTGAATGGATAAATGTGAGATGTCAATGACCAAGAGAAAATAAAACTGTATGTAAAGTTTCTTCCAGAAGATATTTGTACTTCAAATGATGGAGAGAAATTATTAGGGTGAGCTCTGGTTATATCCAGAGGGAACAATTTCCCAGACAAGTGAAGAGCATTTACATTATAGTAGCTCGAGCTTCAGCCAGGCAAAGGTTCTTTTCTACCATAATTAAAATATGTCAACTTTAAACGAAGAGCCGACAATTCTTCAGAAGTACTTTGCCTAGTATATGGTGCCTATATACACAAAATGCTCAATAAAAATTCATAACTTCAATTCTGTAAACTACAATGTGTGCATGTGTACATGAAATTTTGTCATCAATATCTGATAGTCAAAGAAAATTTGCAGCACTAAAGCGGTAAAGAGCTGAGCAGATCAATTCAGCTGTACCTTCCAAAATCTCCAAATTCAGACTGACGTGATTCCTACATCTAACGGAAGACATCATATATATTGCTGGCTCCAATACATTTTCTCTAGTACTAAATTATAGGTGTAGGTCAGCTCAATAACTAGTATCAAGCCATTTACTACATACCTAAAAGAATGAAAATTTTGTTACTACAGTAAGATACCCTCAAAAAACTTTGTTTGCCAAATGGCTAGGAATTACTGTATGGGAGATGTGAGACCATGATGAGGGAGATTTTAGCAGAGGGTTTAACTCTACTGTTCAAACAAGAAATGAAAAATGCACATCTCCTCTTAGGAAGAACTATTTTCACATGGTTTACTCCACCACGTAAAATGTTCCTAAATACAGTGAGAAAACACAATGGGGATCGCAGTATCTATCTCAGGAGCCACTGATCTTTCTCAACATAACAGATCCTTATTATATTACAGACACCAGAAGTTATTCAACCAGGCAAGACTCCCAGACACTATCCAGGAAACGAGACTGACCTCTGAGCCTCCCGGTCATCTTTAGGGTTGTAATTAGACAAGCAGTCCAGGATGAAAATCTGGCCCCATTCGGTACATTCATTCAGGGCTGTCAGCAGCTTATTAATGTTCTGTGGATTCAGATCGAGTAAGTTGCTGTTTGGGTGAGATTCACTGATTTCAGATAATGCTGCTACAGCATTAGCCACCACCTGGGAAAGAAGCAGATATGACCTTGATTTACCAGTAACAGTACAACTATGGACAAATACTTAGTCTTCTCTGGATCACTTTGTAAGTCTCAATTCATAACAATTCTTGAACATTTTACCTAGTCAGCTAGAAACAGATAAACTGCTTTCAAAATGTGTATCAAATAAAGAAGTTGTGGTACATTTATACAATGGAATACTACTCAGCCATAAAAAATAAAATAATGCCATTTGCAGCACATGAACCTGGAGAATGTCATTCTAAGTGAAATAAGCCAGACAAAGAAAAATACCATATGGTATCACTTGTATGTAGAATCTGAAAAAAAAAAAAGACGAACTTATTTATAAAACAGAAACGGACTCACAAACATAGAAAACAAACTTTTGGTTACCAGTGGAGGGAAGAGGGTGGGAAGGGATAAACTGGGAGTTTGGGATTTACAGATACTAACTAATATATATATATATATAAAATAGATAAACAAGTTTATACTGCATAGCACAGGGAACCATATTCAATATCTTGTAGTAACTTATGGTGAAAAAGAATGTGAAAACAAATATATGTATATTCCTATAGGACTGAAATATTGTGCTGTACACCAGAAATTGATACAACACTGTAAACTGATTATACTTCAGTAAAAAATATATTAAAAATGCATATCAAAACACTTATGATGGCATATGTAGCTTCCCAGTGTCAGGCAACCCAGAGTTAAAACAATTCACATGTTAACACAGAGTCACTCATGATTTACTATTAAAACATTAACAATTTTCATAGTACTCAAAACTACTGATAGAATTAAGACATAGGAACAGTTATAAAAAACAGTGAAGTTTAAATATGAAACATGTACATTAAGCAATGGAAAGAAGAATCTAGGCTAAATAATTTTATAAATGTATGGGTGTGCATGTATTGGGGGGTGGGGAGGTGATACTGTCAATTATATCCTAACTCTTAGCGTAAGAAAACGTGAGCTTGAAACCCTAGTTCACTGTAACGTGATGTTGGGAGAGTACATTATCTCTGTGAAATTTAGTTTCCTCATCTGAAAATTGATGATAATTTAATCTACTTCACAGATTAGCTTTAGTTTGAACATAAAATTAGATGACATTTCTAAGTGCTCTCTACAAAGCCTTATGCAAAGTTAAGGTGGTAATATTACCATAATTCATCAAGACTAAGTTGCAGAGTTTTTCACATTAACACCACTGAAATTGGGATATATTTTACAATCAATGACATGTCAAGTTAATAGAAGTATTTTTCTTCCTAGGTGATACAGGAGATAATAATGCATCTTAAAATCAATGGTATCTTAGAATCAATGAAATATGGTATCTCAAATGTACCTTTATCTCAGGCAGTATGATAAATGCAAAATTGCTACCAAATATAACAAAGTACATGTATATCCTGACTTACAGACCTGGAAATCTGTATCAGTTGCAAGAAAAAAAGTGGACACTCTATCAGAAATACACATGTCTAATATAACAAAGAAATCTACAACCAATGAATGCTTAAAGTAATTAAAAAATTGCAGAAACACCCCAAAATAAACAAAACACAGACAAAATAACTACTACAGCCCTGTACAAATGAACTTAAAGCCACATTTTGCAGCAAGGCTCCCAGTTGTTACTAAAGATTAGCACAGTAAGGCTGAATATAAATATTCTGTAAGCATAAACGAGATGTGACAGGTAGCAGCTTCATTATTTACGTATATTGAAGATTTTCAAAAATGTCAGCTCATTTTTAGTCCCTTGTTAACAGCCTGAGAAACAAGAGTTGTATGATTATCCTTTTGCTAGCAAGAGGTCATAATGGTTTAGCTAGTGATTTTAATACCCACATCATCTGGGTAGTCTGCAGATTATTCCAGCATATGAATTTACTAAGAAGATAAATTTTAAGATGATTTTTAAAAATCAAATAATACACTTAAGACAGCATCCATTATTAGGTAAAAGACAATGATACCACAAATGGAATCACTTTCAGCTTTAATTTAGTCATTAGGACAAAAATTCCAAGATGAAAAAAATCAGAGGTTCACTTGGTAATATGATTATGAATATTTCATTGTTATTAAGACAAATGTATGTAGTCCACCTTCCACATGGGAGCGATGGTAGCATGCATGAGGTTCTTTTCTGACTTAATTTTTGTTTGCCAACCACACCATCAAACATGGGCTTTAGTGAAAATTAAAAGGCATGAAGAGTGAAATAATAATTCCCCCTCCATCATCTCAGTGCTTTATATGCAGGGAAAAGATATATTTCCTATGTACAAGACACTTGATAGACTGGATTATAGAATAAAGGATCAAAATGTCACACCAGAAGAATAAATGCCTGTTCTCCTTTCCTGCTGTCAAATACATGCCCAGTCTTAGTTACCAGTTTTGGTAACATTTCTACCAGTGATTCCAACACACCCAAAGAAACTCCAAATCACTGTGCTTTATACTTACTTTAATTTCTGCACTGGAAAAGAAAAGGAAGGTGTAAATGAGGACAGGTTAGTTTATAGTGACTCCACCTTTGCCTTTAATCTTTGCTTTTGAGGGCAGAGGGGGCAAGACAGGAAAACACCAAAGCACTAGAGTCCAAAACAAACATCCTGCCACAAACTTACCATTTCTACCAGTCAAATTCTTTCAATGTTTTAAAAATAGATAAATATAATGTCTATTAACAGAAAATGTAAAAGAAAAGGTGAGAATTGAGGAAATTAAAAAAAGCAATGGGGAGGAAAGACAACAGAAGGATGCTGAAGGGAATGAACAACCGGAATTCCTCTGTTACCATCACAGGCAATTGGAAATTAAACCAAGTACATAATGCAGCTAATGGAGTATACATTCTAGTAATAAAATAGGCAGTTTCTATTTATTTTCACATTTAAACAAACAAACAAAAAAGAAACAAGGAAAAGTAAATCTGATTAAAAGATACAGAGAGATCAGATTACAGGATTATGTTAGCAAAGTCTGCACTGAGAATGAGATCACTGCAAAATGGTCCCTGAACTAATGACTGACCAGAGGAGATACATCCCAATAAGAGAACTCTACTTCTACTTCTCCACTTTTATCTCCTAACCTTCACATTCAGAATGCTAAGTTTTCAGAAATGTACTGGGATGGGCCCATAAGGAGCTGCTCAGAGTTCTTGTCAGTAAGCCATGCTTCTCTCACTCTTTAATGGAAACTCAAAACAAGCTAGTCACACTGAGTAGACAAAGACTGATTCAAGACAGCAGCTGGGTGGCCAGTGTATACAGGACAACTCACCTGTCAATGTTTATACTTTGTGTTTCTTTGGAACTCTGTACAAAACAAAGTACATATATTATCTGTTTTTAAAAATGAACTTTAAGCAGGGGAGGGTACAGCTTAGTGGTAGAGTGCATGTTTAGCATGCACAAGGTCCTGGGTTCAATTCCCAGTACCTCCATTAAATAAATAAATAAAATGAACCTCATTACCCCACCCCAAAATAAAATGAACTTTAAAAAATAATGGACTGAAACATAATTTACTTCCTCCTCCCAAAGAGCCTTCTCCAAACAATAATTCATTCATCATTACAAAAGAAAAACCTGACCTTTGCAGTAACTGCCCTGAGTTACCAGTGTATTAAAACAAGGTTATATCTCTTTCACCTGAGCTATCACTTGAATTTGAACTAAGACTAACATGCATAATATTTTCCCTGGTAGAAAATTGGCAGTTCTCTTAGGAAACACTGCCATGAAGAGAATGACGGCTTTTCAACTATAATCTCAGAAAAATTAAGAGTTCCCAAGAAAGAAAGGAGTTCCTAAAGGAAGTTTTGCTTTAAAAATGGATTTATAAATAGGGTTTCTTAAGTGAATTTTCTGAGCACACTAGTTGATTTATAAAAAGCTGGCATCAAGGCTACAAAGGAACACATCCACAGCATAAAAACATTTGTAAAAATTCATTTGGCCTCCCAATTATGGTTAAGTTCTATTCTTTGGGAGACTGCACCTAAACATTCCTCGTCCCCACCCCATCCCTCTGTAGACCTAATGTAATATGTATACTTTATAGATACAGATATTAAACAAATCTACACATACATACAAAAGCATGCACGCATCTGTGCCTGTGTGTATAAATAAAGTCACACTAAATACTAGACAAATCTTCTCTGACACAACTACAGATTTCCCTTCAATCTGATAGTTCCTTGTGGATCCTTGGAGTCTGCTGAATTTTTTTTTAAGTTAAGCAATTTGTGTCTTGACTTAATTTATACTATACCTAATCAAGCTGGACAAAGAGTTAAAAGACAACAATTGCTAAAATTTGTTGAACACTTGCTATGCCATTAATCCTCATAGCAACTCTAAGGTAGTTGCTATCAAAATCCACCTATTACAGAGAAACAGGCTTTAAAAATGAATTTATAAATAAGGTTAGAGAAATTCAGTGACTTGCTTAGTCAACACAGCCAGAAAAGAAAAGTGCCTGAATAAGGGCTTAAGGCTTGTATCTGATTCCAGTGTCTGAGTACTAGTCACTCTGCCACCTGCATTTACAGAAGTTCCAAGGGCGGTGAATGTCAGCTAGGGGAAAGGGAAAGAAAAATAGTTGGGGAGGATAGGACAATCAAAACATTATTTTCAGGCAGATTTATACAAGGAGAAAAATATATTCTCCTACTTTACATACTTCAGATAATCACATTCTAGCAGCACTTAAAGAGGCAAGATTTACTATCCAGCTACAAAATTTGATTTATAAGCTACCCCAATCTTATATGCAGCAATTCTGAGGACATAAATTTGACCTCATTCTTTTTTTTTTTAAAGGGGCAAGCTGGAGCAGAGGATGTGGTTAGAATAAAAAGAAAAATGGTCCTGTAAAAAAGAACTTCTGAAGGAAATCTAGATATACATTGGGAGTGGACTATTACAGATAGATGTTCCTTTATGAGAAATCTCT